CAAAAAGTCTGTCCAGAAGTCCCAGTGCTGTAGTGTGGTACAGGGCCTCTGGGCCTTGCCAGCCACAAGCCTGGGGTGCCCTGTCCCCCTCCTCCCCTCAGGCAGGCAAAGTCTAGGGAGCAGTGGCCTCCCAACCTGGGAACACTAGGTATCCTCCAAGGAATATGGGAAGGCAGATCTAGAAGAGTACCCACTCTGCCTTTCACCCTCACTGTGCAAGGGAGACCTGCAATGGGGCTCCATCTTCACCATTTTGTTTCAAAAATGACAGCTCTGGGTGAGCGTGAAGGATGGAATTAGCTCACAGGCTCATCTGGCAGATGTTTACCATGCCAGGCAGTGGTGTCCAGTGAAGGAGAACATGCCCTCTGACATGGGGTCAGATACAGATTGGCTCTGTCAGTGTGAGTCCAGAGGGAGGGCCCAAGTGCAGCTAGAGCAGTGAGAGGGCAGCACCTGACTGCCTGATAGGGAAGATTTCTTAGAAGATAGAAGACTGAGCGTATCAGCTGGACCTTGAAGGATGCAGAGATGCTTACCAGGAGAGAAAGGAAAGACAGGAGAAATAGCACAAACCAAGCCCTTTATCTTTGAGCATGCTGGGTGTGTTTGGGGGCTATCAAAAAGTCTCAGAGTGCTTAAGTGCCGGGTCAAAGGGCAGGGGCAGAGGCTGAAGAAGGGGCTGGGCACCAAGCTTGGATTTCAGGAGCAGAGATTTTGAACCCATGGGATTTGGGGAACCCGCATATCACCGTTCTGATGATTTGTCCTCTGATGAGGAGCCCCCCTTCTCCATTTGCTTGCCCCACAATGGGGTGTCCTGATACCCTCTGCCCTGCTCTTCCTGGATCTGTTGTCCCTAGTGCTAACCCATTTACCTCTGATAATGCTCCCTCCTTGCTGCGAGCCCAGACCTGTCCCAGGCCTCTGCAGAACCCAGAGCCTAGTTCCCCTGAAGATCTCCCCAAGCCCATGGACCAGCATTTCCCATCCCCACCCAGGACGGGAAGAACCACATTTGTGGGGAGACCTTGGAGCACAGGTGATCTCCTGGGAGCTCCCCGGCATCAACCATTACACTGCACAAAGGAACAGTTCTTTGTTGAGCACCTCCTGAGTGTCCAACACTACACCAAGGCTCCATGCAGGCATCCTTATCTGCTGTCTTCCCTTTGACCACTGTCTTTTCAAGCTGAGGCCACAACTTGGGAGAACCCTTAATGGTTCAAAGAAATACACACAGTTCCTCAGAAGCATCCTTGAGGAGGACATTGGTGGGCTGACCCTGGGCCAAGCGGGGATGCAAGAGAAGGTCCCCCGGCTGAGACACCACTGTGCACCCTACCCCCCTCATTCTCACCGACACACCCTGCTTCCATAAGCTACCCACAGTAAAGGGTCAGGGGAACTTTGACACGTGCCCCAAGGCCTCCTCCCCTCTATTTTGAGAGAAGACGCTGGGAAGGGGTCACGGGGAAGGGGAGGATGGGATGATCTCCAGGGACAGTGGAGGGGTGATTCTCCTTCCTTGAGCCCCTCAAAGCACAGCCCTGTTTCCTCTGACTTCCACATGTAGCCGAGCACAGGCACACGGAAGGTGATAACATCTGGCAGCTCAGTGAGTGCCCAATAAGGGCCACTGTTCCCACTGAGACCCTGCTGCTCCAAGGGAAAGCCAGCAAAACCCTTCTCTGAGGGAAATGGGAGTTACAAAGAGAGAGGTGAATCCTAAAGTTCACCACAGTGCAGGGCTCAATTTAGGCACAGGCCCTAACCTCAGGGTTCTAACCTGAGAATCACTGCAGCAGGCTGGGAACCTGAACCGGAGGGCAGCACTTGTTAGATGATAGAGCTGGCCTGGGCATCAGACCCCGCCCCCACCTTTCACTAGCACAGGGGGACAGCAAAGAGCTCAGGACTTGCTCACAGAGCTCAGGGACCTCAGGGCAGCATCTGTGCTCTATGGCATGATGCCAGGGAGCCCTCTCCTGTCCTTGGTCCCCTGCTCCAGCCCACAGCACAGTTCTAACATGATCCTTGACAGCCTAACCCCAAGGCTCCCGTTGGGGCAGAGACTGCCCAGGAAGAGGGATGGGAGGCTCGGCTAGTAAAAGTGAAGCAGCACCTGGGTCTCGGTTCTCCCCAGGGCTGGGGAAGGCCCGGAGGCTGGCATGAGGCAGTACAAACCCTACCAAGTCCCTCGCTGCTATTGTGGTCTGAGCTCCTCCTCCTCAGGATTCCTTGCCAGAGGCTCATCACATTGGAGACAATGGCAAGAAGTGCTGTGGAAGGAAGCACGGCCTGAGACCCTCCCTGCTGTGCCCTGCCCCAAGGACACTGACATGGCAGCTGTCTTCCACCTTGAGCAGGTGCTGAGGGCCTGTGTGCTCCTCAGCTGAGACCGTCTCTCTGATGGATGATCTGTCCTTGGGTCCAGCAGATGCAGAAAGCGGCCAGGCTGTTTTGAGAAACACAGCCCCAGCTGCCCTCCACTCCACCCCACCTTCAGGAAGGAAGGCTCTGCACTCCTCTGGAGCAGGAGTGGCTCTAAAAATAAACTCAGCCCCTTGGGTTTTCCTGCCTCAGCCCCTGTGGAGGAGAGGACAGGGGTGCCATAAATTCTATCAAACGTACAGCAGTTGGGCCAGGGATTTAGCTCAGTGGTTGCACTGCCTGCTTCGCAAGCACAAGGTCCCAAGTTCAATTCCTGGTACCAAAAAAATAAAAATAAAAGGTACAGCAGAGTGCTGTTCCAGCCCATAGGAAGAAAAGCAGGCTGATGTGGGCCAGGGGCTTTCAAGGAGCTTTTGAGAAAAGCTGGTGTCTGAAGTGGGCTTGGAAAATGGATGGGAGCCTGAAGCAGGGGCCAGAAAAGAGATTACAGAGCAGGAACTGCACAAGCAAAGCTCAGGCATAACAGGGCACCAACTCCACTGCTCACAGCTGCAGCCCTGGTCCCTGGAACAGTCCCTGTGCAGACTAAATATCCATAAATAGAGAGAATTCCCTGAGGACATTTTGGGTCTCGGCAAAGACCTTCACAGGAAGTGGGCTATTGTCTCTGCAAACCCACTGATCTCTGGAATGCAGCTGCTGAGCAGGAAAAGGACCTTCTTCCGGTAAGAAAGGAAACAGGAAGCCAAGGCTCACTGGGCACTAAGAGGCAATGTCAGCACTCAGGCTGGCAGTGCAGGTCAGAGATGCTCACCGCTCACCTTGGGGTGAGGTCTCTGCCAGCCCGGGCACAACCATGAGGTTCTGACTCCAAAGAACCCGAGTAACTACAGGAGAAGCCTCAAGTTGGGCTGAGGGTTACTACCTTCCCCACACCACTCCTGGCAGCAGAGACACCTTGGGAAGTGAATTAAAGCAAAACAAAAAACAACATAGCACTCTCTCCTTAACACTTGGAGGCCTCTTCACAGCAAGTGAGGAGAATGAGCAATTAGAGAAGAAAACAGCCCACGGTAGCAGCCTAGAAACACAAAAGCAAGGAGGCATGCTCACCGAGCCCCATGCAGCCCAACAGGACCCATGAGCCTGGCCCCGTGGAGGGAGGGGCCATAGAGCAAACCAGGGTGGAAATGTGGAGAACAGGCCTTGGGCTTCAAGCCTTGGGGTCCAATCCCGATCCAACTGCTGACCAGCTGTGTAACTGGCAGCCTGACATCTCTCTCTCTGAGGCTTGGCTTTGCTGTCTTGTGGAAAATAGGACCCTAATCACCATGGTGCAGGGCGACTGTGCAACTTGGCAGGGTTGGTACATTGAAGGCCAGAGCCCTTGCAGCACAGAGGCTAGGAACACAAAATTGCCCTTCTCTTCCAGCTTCCTCACCTTCCTTAGATGGAATATCCAGCCTCCACACCCCACAAACTCACATGAGCCAAAGAGCACCTAGACCAGGGAGCATGAGAGTTCCAGAAAGGAAAAGGAAAATCATTTTGCCTCCTGTTCTACCCACCAAAGGCCTTGGTATGAGGAAAAGGGCAGGGCAAGACCTGGACACATGAAATGAAATGGACAAGAAGCCAGGAGGTGCAGAATTCTGTTCTCGGTGGAGGCGGACGGTGGCAGGGCTCAAAGCACTGGGCCATTTGATCTCTAGTCCTGACACTATGGCCAACGCACTGGCCTCAGTTTCTCACTGTGGGACGAAGCACGCCCAGAAGGATGGTACCTGTGAAAATACACAGGCATTTTTCTGGGCTACTGACCATGGCCCATGGACGAGGCAGCAGCCCATCCTCTTCACAAGGCCAGAGGGTAGCTGGAAGCCAAGCTCCCCAGCCTGGAAGGAGCTGTCATCTTGGAGGCAAAACTCTTGCCTGCCCTGTCTCATGTCCTGGGGTAGGGGTGCAGGCTAATTCTTGAGTTCAAACAGCAAAGTGCCACCCTGGGTACTCTATAAGAGGAAAAACAGCAGCCACCAAGGCCTCAAGGACCAGCCCAAGGGGTTGTATCGAGCTGGCACCTGAAGCTGTCAGAGGCAGAACATCAATCTTCCTGATCAAGTGATGATAAGTCAATACTGCAAGGAGCAAAATCAATAAACACAATCCACCCAACATTAATCAGCTAATCAGACTTTTATAATAAACAGAAAAAAAAAAGCCCCTATATCCTCAAACTTCACATACCAGGGCACATGAAAGAGCTATACAATATTCTTAAATATATACTTACAACTGCAGCAGTTCACCTATTTCAAAAAACTGGAAATCTATTCATTTGTTATCTTTAAGACCTTCTTAAAGGGGCTGGGGATTTAGCTCAGTGGTTCCATCACCTGCCTCACAAGCACAAGGTCCTTGGTACCAAAAAAAGACCACCTCAAATTTAAAGGCTACCTTATTGTATGTTTAAAGTATATTTTAACAGTGTGGTAGTTAATAAAACACAATTTTTTTCATTTTGAAAAAAAAAAAAAAAAAGACCAGGGCATTCTTCAGGGCCTCAGCTCTGAAAGGCAAAGGTCATTGCATCTGTGGTCAGGCCTTACCTCTGAGCAGCTCCATCAGTGTCCCTGCCACATGAAGAGGGGTGGATCAGAAGGCCCACAGAAGGTTGTCGGGGACTAGGACACACGGGCAAGCATCCTGCAGGGAGAAGCCAACAGGAAAGTTGATAAGACCCTCAAACCCCCTCATTCCATGCCTGTTGATGAGGAAGCTGGCAAAGTCAGGCCTCACCTTGAACAACAGAGACTACCCATCCCAATAGGACAAGAGAGTCCAATGGGGGAGGTCTAAACTAGGGGTCTCCTGTTTACGGAGGGACCCAGTCCCAGATGCATTCAGGGAGCAGGTGCCTAACTCAGAACTGCTGAATGACGATACCTGCTGGCATTGACTTGATCCCCTTCTAGGCTTAGGAAAACTGCAGGAGGTGGAACTGACCACCAGCATACACAGTTGCCTTCCTATGGTTGCCTTCCCAGAACCCTGTTGGGATAGGAGGATTTTGGACTTCAGGGCCACATAGGGCTGGAACACTGGACAAAGCAGGATGGAGAGTCCTGGGTGGAAGATGTAGATGACTGCCAGCAGTCCCAACAGGCTCTCCAGCTGGCCACTGTGGGCCCACATGCCCACCACTGCCAAAGGCCCTGAGGCCAGAGTCGAGCACACAAAACACAATGAAGAAGATGGAGAAATGGATATTCAGGGAGTCCTGGTCCCAACAGCCTCACTGGTAACACAATATTTATAGGTACAGTGAAGCCTCCCAGCCCCGGGTCCCTTGGTCCTGAGATACTGGGGCCATGTTGCAGCTCAGCACATGTTCTTGCTCACCTGACACACTGATGAGCCCTCATCCCCACACCTACATCAGCAGCCAGGCTGCAGCCCAGCAGCTCCTTGAAGGTTGTGGGCACTGGGGCTGTTCCTGGGACTATACCCAACTCCAGGGCCACTGAGACCCAGGTACCAGGCTCCAAGATGCCAATCTGTGCTGGCATGAGCTGAGCAGTCTGGACAGAGGCAAAATCAACATCCAAGGCTAATTTCATGGAAGATTCAGGTGACAAAGTGACCAACTGTCAGTGAGCAGCACAGAGAGCAAGAGCGAGAGGAGGGAGAGAATGGAATCGCGGAGGTGCAGAGAACCAGCAATGCACAGCAGTGGGAGGTGTGGCTGCAGGAACGGTGGCTCTTCACAGGCCGCCCCCGCCACCGCTGCCTCCTACATTCCCAGGGAAGCTGTGCAAGAGGAACACACAACTTTTGGAGGCAGCCCTCAGGGACATTGGCCTCCCGCCTCTGGGCAGCTGCATGTACACGCGCGGCCGGTGGGCTCCCGAAGAGACCAATGTCCCTGGTTTCCTACTGCCAGCCCAGGGCCCTCAAGCCTTTCTCCCCTACATACCACCGAATGCCACGACCTGCCAAGCCCCTGTGCAGCCCTCTCCATCTTGTTTCTTAGTTTTCACTGCCACACCTCCTAACAACTCTAAGGTCGCTGAGGCTGAGGGTTTGCCATGGTAACAGCCCACTCCTCAGCCATCTGGATTTGGCAGGCAAGTCCCCTCCACTCCACATGACGCCTCTCTGTCGGTGAGGAGGTCAACGTGACTTGCCCAGCACAATCAGATCCTCAGGGCCGAGGAGGACAAAGGCGCTCTGAGGAGGCAAAGAGGGGCGATATCTCAAGTCCAGGTGAGGAGTAAGCACATCAGGCAGCCACTTCAGGAATAGACCTCAGGAGCAAGGGACCCCAAATGTCCCTGGAATGAACTGCAAACACACTGCCAGTAACTCAGGTGGCCCCGCATGTAAATGGAAGAAAGCAAACCAGTCCACTCCTTGAAGGGGAAATGAGAAATAACATTGAAACACGATCCTTGCTGAGATCTGCTGCATGCATGTTCTACACATGTGCAGCCATGGTCCCACGGGCAGGAGTCTAAAACAGAATAATCTGATCTTGCTTTTCTCAGGAGCAAAAAGAAAACATTACCCTGCATTATATTTTAAATGTAAATCTTCTGTGTGCCTTTTTTTTTTTTTTTTGGCTTTTTGAGACAGGGTTTCACTGTATAGTTGAGACTGACCTGGAACTTATTATGCAGCCCAGGCTGATCTCGAACTCACAGCAATTCTCCTGCCTCAATCTCCCAAAAGCTGGGATTACAGGCGTGTGCCACCACGCCTGGCTGATCTGTGTGCCTTTTGAATGAAGAAGAGTTGCATGGGAGAGGAAAAAAAGAAAAACAAAACAAGAACAGCCTTAGACACAAGAAAGCAGAAGTCAGAATTGCTTTCCTGAAAAATTTTCAGATCCCAGATGCTGTTTGAGTCGGTGCAAGTGAATTAGTAAGTGAATCTGTTTCTCTATACAATTTCTATTAATGGAATATCAGTCTCTCCTCATCCCCACTAAATAAATGTCAAACACACACTTAAAGAATACCAGTTTGACGGGATGCCAACCTGCAAGCTTACCCAGACGCCCGCATGTCTTGAGCTGGCCCTGGCTGGAAGCGTAAGTTCCAAACAAGTGGGTGGCGCAACTGAAGCAACACTGCTGCCCCGTCCTCCAGTGACACGGAGACGGAGGCAGGTGGCTGGAGGCTGGGCGGGGAGGCTGATATACACGGCAGGTGGTTCCGAAGCATGAAACCTAGGATTCTGACAGCAGGCCAGGGCCTTGGATTCCACGGGGAGTCAGGATTTCTGAATTGTTTTGTTTTGTTTCTGTTTGTTGACATAGGGTCTTGCTATGTAGCCCACTCTGGCCTTGAACCGTAGCTCAGGCTGGCCTCAAACTCTCAGTCCTTCCATCTCAACCTCCCAAGTGCTGGGATTACAGGCGTGCACCATCATGCCCAGCCTCTGATTTTTAAAAATTGAGATAGAACTTACATGATATAAAGTTTACCCTTTTAAAGTGTACAGTTCAGCAGTGATTAGCCTACTTGTAAGGTTGTGCGACTGTTATCACTACCTAAATCTGGAACTTTTTCATACTGCCTAAATGAAACTATGCAGCTACGAGCAGTTACCTCCCATTCCGTACTCCCAGCCCCTGGCAACCAGTAATTTGCTTTCTGTCTCTATGGATCTGTCTATTCTTGGCATCTCCTATCAAAGAAGTTATATACTACGTGGCCTTTCGTGTCTTTCACTTAACATGTTTTCAGAGTTCATCTATGCTGTAGCCTGTAGCAGTACCCCACTCCTTCCTTTTATTGGTTTTTTTTTGGGGGGGTACCAGGGATAGAACTCGGGTCCTTGCGCGTGCAAGGCAGGCCACCGAACCACTGAGCTAAATCCCCAGCCCTGGTACATTTTAGATATACATAACAATAACATTCATCATAGGGAATTTGTACCTGTACATGATATATCTTGCTTCTTCTTTTTTTCCCATTCCCCTCCCCTCTCTTCAACCCCTCTTCCCTTCCTTATTTATAAAAGCTTTGTTTCCATTTTTTCCTTCTATTCTCTATTTTTTCTTATCCCTTCCTCTCTCCCTTTCCCTTCCCTTGTTCCTCTTCTCATTTGAACATTTTCTTCCCCTTTCCCAATATCTATTATACAGTTTGGTCCTTATTTACACTTTTGGTTCCTCACACCAAAGAAACAATGCAGTATTTAAGCATGTGTGCCCAATTTATTTCACTTAAGAGTGTGGTCTCAAGGTGCATCCATTTAGCTAGAAATGTTTCAAGCTTATTGTCTTAGTTACTTTTCCTATCACTGAAACGAAGCACCCAAAGTTAAAAGGAGAAAGGTTTATTTAGCTCACAGTTTGTAGCGGTTTCAGTCCATAATCAGCTGGCTCCGAGGCAGGGTGCCACATTGCAGAGTGGCAACAGTTCATGGCCGTGGAAGACAGCAAAAGCAACAAGGGACCTTAACAGTGTCTCCCTACCCCTTTTAGCTTATTCAGACTATTTAGGGTGGGTAACACTCAAACCCTTAATCCTAGTGCCCTCAGGCCTAGTATCATACCATGAATCAATCATACACTCTAGATTCAGCCACTGAATCTCTGAAAAAGACCTAAGACTCCATGAGGCTTTGAGAGGATGTCTAAACACAAGCCATAACATCTATCCTTCATTATGGCAGAGCAGTACTCCACTGTGTAAAAAACCACCTTTATCCATTGATGGGTTGATGTGCATTTGGGTTGTTTCTAATATTTAGTTATTACAAACTGTGCCACTATAAACATTGGTGTGCATATATCACTGTGGTATGATGTCTTTAATGCTTTTGGGAAGATACCAAGAAGAGGAACAGCTGGGAAGAGGGTCAAATGAAACCTCTAGTTTTAGGTGTTTGAGGAATCTCCATACTAATTTCCACAGTAGTTGCACCAGTCTACACTGCCACCAAGAGTGGAGAAGGGTTCCTTTTTCCCATAGCCCCTCCAGCAGTTGTTACTGGTTGGTTTCTTCTAATAGTCATTTTTTCTGGAGTAAGATGTAATCTCAGCATTGTTTTAATTGCATCTCTCAAATGACCAGTGATGTTGAACATTTTTTCATAGATTTATTTGCTATTTCTACTTCTTCATCTGAGAAGTATCTATTCATTTCAGATCCCCATTTTTACATTGGGTCTTTAAATTTAGGGGTCTGATTTTTTTAGTTCTTTTTATATTCTAGATATTAGTCCTTTGAGGAACAGCTAGCAAAAAATTTTTTCCCATTCTGGGAGTTGTCTTTGCACTCTGTGGGTGGTTTCTTTTGCTGTGCAGAAGTTTTTGATTAAGATGAGATCCCACTTGTTGATTCTTGGTGACATTTCCTGTGCGGTAGGGGTTTTATTCATAAAGTCTTTGCTTACATCAATGTCTTCAAGAGTTCTACCTATTCTATCTTCCAGCAGATTTAGTGTTTCTGTTTGAATATTTAGATCTTTGATCCATTTTGATTTTAGTGCACAGTGAAAGATTTGGGTCTAGTTTTAATCTTTGACATGTGGAAAGCCAGTTTTTCCAGCACCATTTATTAAAGAGGCTGTCTTTCTTCCAGTGAAGGTGTTTGGCTCCTTTGTCAAAGATAAGGTGGCTGGGCCGGGGATTTAGCTCAGCGGTTCGGTGGCCTGCCTTGCAAGCGCAAGGACCCGAGTTCAATCATATAGAG